GAGAATCCCTGTCCTTTGCCACTGCCACCCTTGTCTGATGATGTAAGGTCATACTGTTGGGGACATGGTAGCTCAATGAACCAGCCAATGCTTCCTTTCCTGATGCAGCTGGCGTTACTTTGGACCCTGCGCAGAGAGGTGAGCTCTGACTTTCTTACGCACATAGACAATATATCCTTGTGTAATTAACTTTGATTTGTAAAACTGAAATGATAATGTGTGCTGTGTCTACCAAAACTTCATAAGATATTTTCTTCCTTACCAGGTATGTAAGCACATCCAGTGAAAGTCCTGTTAAAAGATTCAGACTCCCTCTCCATGTCTGTTTATCAATGTTATGTATGAATAGTTTCTCGGGATGTAGCCATTCTGTGACGTTTGTAATCACTGATGTAGCACTTTTAAACAAATATAAACAAAGAGTTCATGTATTTCTAAAACAGCCAATTGATTTTTCACTGCAGGGCCTGTGACACTAAGCAGGTGTGTGTGCCCACCGTGGTAGGTTTTGGCCAGCCGACGTGGGCTGTTGAGCTCTTAATTCTGCTGGGAACAACTCCTCAGTTCAATACCTGCAACCTGCAGCCTGCTATATGCACAGATAACTGTTGTTGCACAGTGCCACCTAGTGCAACCGTCCAGAGAGCCTGGGCTCCCACCATGCTGCAACAGCGGCTGGTCCGGCTGCTGCTACAAAAGCTCATGTTCTTCTGCATCTAACGAGAGAGACTTTATCTGCTTTCATGGCTGGAAAACTGAGGGCTCCCTGCACAAGCAAGGAGTGCTGTGTTTTATGTCATATGCTTGTTTGTAACATGGAATGTAACGCTGTTCTCGGTAGCATTTCTGTCCTGGTTTGGTAAATTCACGTAACTAAGCCCAAACTTACAAGGAGGTGTCACATCTGGTTGGAGGTTTTGCTGGGTTGTTGTTGACGCTGAGCTGGTAACTACCGGATCCTCTGGTACTGCAGAAGGGACGGTTGGTTGTTCGGATCCTAAAGGAAACCCTCCCCAAACACAAGACAAAAGTCAGAATGCACTGCCGTTGAACTGATCCTTGAAAAACAAAACCTGCCCTGTATGCTCCATGCTCTGGATTGTTTGGGTGCTCTATCTGATCAGTGGTTAGACTTACAGTCCTACAGCTTCCCTGTCCTCTGAATATATTTAATGATATGAAATGAGGAAAAAATGGAAGTGAAACCCTTACCAGTATGCTGGGGGTAGCTTGGAGTAGGGGCTGTGCTGCCGTTCAGATCTGACACTGCTGCGGTCACTGGGGAAAAAACCAAAGCAGTTCTGATGGCTGTGCAAAATGTCCCTCAGTGCTGATGGCAACTGGTGACAGATGCTGTGTTTATCTGGCCTGTGCGTTAATTAAAAAGAGGCCAAGCGGTTAACGCCTACCTGTAGATTGCTTGTTCTGAGAGACATGTGTGTTCACCTCTAGTGCAGGATTTGTTTTTGTCGCTGAAAAAAAACAACAACAGTAGAACTTTCAGAGCACTTTATAAATATTTGTTGAATCAAGCAATCTAAGGAAGAATAAAGTAAGAATAATTAGATCCATCCTAAAGATGAGTGAATAGGCGGAAGGCAAACTCTACTCTGAGAATTATTAGACAAGCAGCTTCAGAGTTAATTTACAACATTTACACCCTGCTAGCTTTCCAGGTGGATGTGTCTGTCTAACATGCAGAAGACATGCAAAGCTCACAGTTTTTTGAGAACATAAAGTTTGAGTTACCTTTAAAGCTTCAGGACAAACATCACTTGAATTCTAGCAGCAGCATTGGCGAACTGACCTGCCTGGGATGCTGTGGCTTAATGTTTAATGAATTTTAAGGTAGTTAAAAAGCAGGAAAAAGCCCTAAAGTCTTGGTTTGGATTTCTTCCTTTGCCCCAGGTAGCCCTCTCATTTAAAAATAGATTCCACACACGGGGCAGCAGACTATGGGCTTCAGTTTTGCATACGTATCTGCATAACTTTCACCACTTCAGAGTGGTGAAATGGGATAGCTACTGCTGAAGAAGCCTGCAGTACCTGTCCTAGGGAGTTCCTCAAACCGGAGAGACGCCATCAGCTTCTCTTCTCTTAGTGCTTGGTGGTGAATGATGCAGCTGGCTGTTGAATTGGACCCATAGGCAAGGACTGTCAGCGTGCTGGTTGTGGTCCATTTCTTCCCATCAGCTTCTAACTTGTGCTTAGTGTCACCTGTACACCCATTGGAAGAAAGCATTTAAGTGCTTTCTAGTCAAGAGCAATTTAATGAAAAACCTTCCAGGCACAATCTCCATCACTTTGTTGGGCTAAAGCGACATCCGATTACTGTGCAAAAGTGGTTTATTATGTAAATGGATTACTTGGGAGCCCAAAGGCAGCAAGGTCATGTTTTCTTCCTCCACAGTTGTTTAAGTGCAGACCTCACTGCACCTCCTGCGCTCAGCACAAAGCCTCTGCTTGGTTTCAAGACTCATGTGGGGAAATTCCCCTGCAGCACCCTGCAGGACCGCAGGGAAATGTCCAACCACCCACCGGCATTTTTGGTCCTTACTGAACGGAATAGATCACTTTGCTGTGTGCCACAGCCATGCATGGCCCACGGTGGGGAGCCTCAGGGCAAGGGCCTGCTGTTTTGCAGCATGGCTGAGATCTGGAAAAGTTCTGATTCTGCTATTTGATATCCAAGGGCACTGAATTTGTGTCTTAATAGCTGTGGACGTAAAAAGAACTTGTGCAATATTTGTGCATATGGATAAATATGCAGAGTAAATATTGATGTGCAATGTTTAAATTTGTAATAAATAAACATTTATATAGCTCTATGAAATCCTGTGCAAGCGCTCCATCACCCCTACAACGCAGTTCTGACTCTTCCCCTTTTGCAGCTGGGGGAAGTTAAGTACAAAGATTAATTGCCTTGCCATAATGAATTAGGGAGAGCCATGTAACTTGTCTGATGTAGTTCCTAGTCTTCTAGGTAGTACTGGCTTTTATTCATTTATATGATATGGGAAAATAAAGGTATATTTCATGTGACACAAAGAGACGTGTTTGAATAGCTCTGGTGGAGAGGGAGTTTTTTTCAGGTGTTTAGCTTAAATGCCCATGGTGGCACAATAATTTCTACTGTCTGTTTATGATGTAGAGGTTCTCTGGAAACAAACTAATGCTTTCTTTTGATCTATTACCCTTGGTAACACCCTTATTTCTTAAATGGAAGAAATTCCTTGTTTCCAAATTAGCCTTTACAGATAACTTGCCGTATCACATAGACCAGTATTTTCTCAGATACTCAGAAGCTTTTGCATCCCCAGCAAGGTCATGTCAGAGCTCAAAGGGATTTCAAAGTGGTTTTGCTAGGAAGGAAATACTCTTTGTCAGCAACAGCTCAGTAATTACAGCTGGTTCGCCCCTGCTGAGCCCTGGTGGAACTGAGGTGCTGCCAGTAATTAAGATATATTAGCTATTTTCTGATTAGTGTAAACATTTGCAGTAAGTGATTAAAGCTGAGAATGGAAAGGGGAGGAAGGAGTGTTACTCAAAGACATTCACCTTCAAAAAAGCACATGCAGAAAATTTGATAAGCTGTGGATTAGGACAGCTATTTTTTCCTAGGAAACATTTTAATTCGCGCCTGCCATAAGCAGGCTGCACGGTGAAATCAGCACCCCTGCACACAAATATTCGTTCCCCCGAAAACCAGCCCAGCTGAAGCCAGCCCAGGCCCAGTGCTGCTCAATGGTGTTCCCAGGTCCCTGTGGGGTGGAAGTGAAATGTCAGGCTCCTCCCGGCTGCAGCCTGCTCTGATGGCTGGCGGGTCACTGCTACAAAGGCAAGGAGGAGGCAAAGGTAAGTGTAGGTTTTTGCTAAAATAAGTGGAGAAAGATGTCGCTGGCTTTGTGTGTTGTGGGAGGTGTTTAGTGCCTGTGTTGTGATGTTACCAAAAGCATACTTCATCAAGCCTGAACTGAGGTTGTTCTAAGTTTAAGGAAACCTCTGTTTTTAGAAAGAATACTGGGAAAACAAGTCTGTATGAACTTAGAGGTGACATACTGCTTCTCTGAGCTCTTCGTAACTTCACAGCTGGTGTTGCCCCCAGCCCTTAGAGTCACATGCAGCCAGCTCTTCCCAAACACGTGCAGGAGTTCAGAACCTGCTTTTCCAAGGGTCATCTGCTGCTCCAGGAGCATCTTCCCCCCTGCACTTGCATGTAGCTCTCTGCCCTGGCTTTCATGTGGCTCCCTTAATAGCTGTGCCGCTTCCCAAGTGCGATTTCTTTAAGCATAGGGCTTTAGATGTTGGCATTAATGCCTGTGTATCTGGCAGCCTGCATTTTTTTTATTTAATCTTGATTTCTAGTTATATTCAGGCCAGCACACTTCTCTGTTTTCTAGAGCTCTTAGTTAAAAAAGCCATTTTGGGGGGAGGCTAGGCTTTGAACACATTGCTTGACGATGCAAAATACAAATAAGAGCTTGTTGATATGTAAAGGAAAATACATTTGCATCTATGGGTATTTTCCTCATGCTTTGATACAGACCTGCATTTCCTCTCCACTGTGCTACAGTTACAGCTAATAAGGTAGTTATTATTAGAACATGGCCTTCAAAGCAGATATTTATATAGTACACAAGTTAAATTGAGCTATGTGGCAGCTCTGTTCCTTCTCACGTGTGTCCACCCAGACATGTGCAGATCTCTTACTGGGGGGGAGTGTTGTGGGGTGTTGTGGGCTGTGTTTCCTGAGCTCTTTTCTGGCTTCTGCTAGTGAGCTGCCTGGACAGATTAATGAGAGAAAGCCTACTGGTGTATGTGTGTGAGCTGCTCAGCAAAGCTGAGGAAAATCTGGCTACCAGTTACAACATGGAAATAGTTATAATGGATTTGTTAAATGATTTTATACTAGGGCTTTGATAGTTCTGCCTCCAGAGTTTTTGTTTCATTTTGTTTCGATGGAATTTCACTCCAGGCTCTCGAGGGGTTTTGGTGCCAAGTGGTGTCGCTTTGCACTGAATGTGAGCAAAGCAGATGAGCCCTCTCCCTTGCACAAACACTGGAACTCAGTGCTGACTTTTCTCCAGATCTGCGCCATGGGTGCTAAGTTGTACTAAACAAGTGGAGGATGAGTTGTAGTCCCATCTGATGTGTTGCAGAAGGTGTTTCACCCTCCAATATTTTTGAACATGCCCAAGGCTGATC